GTCAGGGCATGGCTAACTCACAGATTGAACCCTGAAACAACCTTTGGGCTGATCTAAGTCAGGGCATGGCTAACTCACAGATCGAACCCTGAAACAACCTTTGGGCTGATCTAAGTCAGGGCATGGCTAACTCACAGATAGAACCCTGAAACAACCTCTTGGCTGATTCAAGTCAGGGCATGGCTAACTCACAGATAGAACCCTGAAACAACCTCTGGGCTGATCCAAGTCAGGGCATGGCTAACTCACAGATCGAACCCTGAAACAACCTCTGTGCTGATCCAAGTCAGGGCATGGCTAACTCACAGATAGAACCCTGAAACAACCTCTGGGCTGATCCAAGTCATGGCACGACTAGCTCACAGATCGAACCCTGAAACAACCTCTTGGCTGATCCAAGTCAGGGCATGGCGAACTCACAGATAGAACCCTGAAAGAACCTCTTGGCTGATCTAAGTCAGGGCATGGCTAACTCACAGATAGAACCCTGAAAGAACCTCTTGGCTGATCTAAGTCAGGGCATGGCTAACTCACAGATAGAACCCTGAAAGAACCTCTGGGCTGATCCAAGTCAGGGCACGGCTAACTCACAGATAGAACCCTAAAACAACCTCTGGGCTGATCCAAGTCAGGGTATGGCTAACTCACAGATAGAACCCTGAAACAACATCTGGGCTGATCCAAGTAAAGGCATGGCTAACTCACAGATAGAACCCTGAAACAACCTCTGGGCTGATCCAAGTCAGGGCATGGCTAACTCACAGATAGAACCCTGATACAACCTCTGGGCTGATCCAAGTCAGGGCGTGGCTAACTCACAGATAGAACCCTGAAACAACCTCTGGGCGGATCCAAGTCAGGGCATGGCGAACTCACAGACAGACCCCTGAAACAACCTCTGGGCTGATCCAAGTCAGGGCATGGCTAACTCACAGATAGAACCCTGAAACAACCTCTGGGTGGATCCAAGTCAGGGCATGGCTAACTCACAGATAGAACCCTGAAACAACCTCTGGGCTGATCCAAGTCAGGGCATGGCTAACTCACAGATAGATCCCTGAAACGACCTTTTGGCTTATCTTAGTCATGACATGGCTAACTAACAGATTGAACTCTTGAACAACCTAAGGGCTGACAAGGGCATGGCTTACTCATAGATAGAATTGGAATTTAGCATAAGACTTTCTAGTATGGTAGGATTAAAACCCTTGATTCAAGAGTGAGACTCAATCAACTCTACCCAACAGGGCCGTAGCCACAAATTTCTGATTGGTCTGGTTTTCGAGGGTTTTTGGTTTTCCTTACATTTTTTTTGCCTCATATTTTTTCCCAAAAAGTTGAAAAACACAGCTACAGCCCTGCTCAAATGAATACTTAGTCTACATGTAGAAAGCAAACCTGAGACTCTAGAAGTGAGAGGCAAGTATACTACTGCTACACATACTGTATTTTCATTGCCTTTCAGTCGGTATGGGACTCCAGACGAATTGAAGGAATTAATTGACACAGCGCATGGCGAAGGGATTGTAGTTCTTCTAGACATAGTGCACAGTCATAGTGCTAAGAATGTCATGGATGGTATCAATGAGTTTGATGGAACCCAGAGCTGTTATTTTCATGATGGTCATCGTGGTGTTCACACTCTCTGGGATAGCAGGTTGTTTGACTACACTAAGTAAGTCTTGTTCCTGTAGTTTTTTTTATTTCACTTGAAATATCAAGTACTGTAGCCATGAACTGCTGTTACTGTATTTGTTGATTGTTGTTGTTGTTTTCGTTGTAGAAGTTGTCGTCGTTCCCTTTGTCATCCTACTTATTGTCGCTGCTATTGTTGTCTTTTTCTTATTATTTATTGATGATGGTATAATCATGATGATGATGATGATGGTGATAATGATGATGATGATGGTGATAATGATGATGATGATGATGATGGTGATAATGATGATGATGATGGTGGTGGTGATAATGATGGTGATGATGATGATGATGGTGATAATGATGATAAATATGATGATAAGTAAGTAAGTCTTTTCATCTTAAAATTTAACCTTTTATCATTTACTCTTTCCTTCAACAGATGGGAAGTACTGCGCTTTCTTCTGTCCAATCTTCGTTGGTTCATCGAAGCATACAAGTTTGATGGTTTTCGATTTGACGGTGTTACATCAATGATATACCACGACCATGGCTTAGGGCACGGGTTCAGTGGTGGTTACCCAGATTTCTTTGGCTTGGGGGTCGATACGGAGTCCCTTATTTACCTCATGTTGGCCAATGATATGCTTCATACTGTCTTCCCTGAAGTTATTACCATCGCAGAGGTAAGATTGTCTGATTCTCTTGTGCATGATTTTACCCCAGCAAGGGTGGTGTAGCATTAGTGCACTCGCTTCTCACCTCTGGGGTCTCCTGTTTGATTCCTAAACTCAGCATCAAATGTGAGTAGAGTTTATTAGGTCTCTCCCTTGGGTCTAAGTTTTTTTTTCGGTTTTCCTCCTTTCTAAAAATAAAAACACGCTAAATCCAATTTGATCTGTGAGTTAGCAGTGCCTGACTTAGATCAGCCTAGAGGTTCTTTTGGGGTTCCATCTGTGAGTTAGCCATGCCTGACTTTGATCAGCCCAGAGATTGTTTTAGGGTTCGATCATATGGTTCTATCTCTGATTTAGCCGTGCCCTGGTCTTGATCAGGCCAGAGGTTGGTTCAGACTTTAACTTTAATTAGTGTTCTTGACGTCAGACTTCTTCGTTCAATATACCGTTCGCACCATTTTTCATAAAAGGAAAGGAAAGGAAAGCAAGAGAAGAAAAGAAAAAATCAAACACGCTTTTTAATTTTAACACGCCAATTATTTTTTGTATTTGTTAAACGTTAGGAAGTGTCTGGTATGCCAGGGTTATGTCGACCAATCAATGAAGGAGGTGGAGGATTTGACTACAGACTAGGAATGGCTATACCTGACATGTGGATCAAGGTACACCATTAATTCAGATTGGCTCAGTGTATTTTGTCTCGCTCTAACGACCTAGAGGCCAGCACACCATGAAGTCTGGTTCACACTAGCGTCGTAATCGAATGCACTGAATATACACAGACTCAGTGCCTGTCTTTTTTTTTTTCGCAGGCGATAAATGTTATATTGAGTGTGCGTATGTTTCTTCCGATTCCGATTAGGATGCTAGTGTGAACCAGGCTTAAAGGTCCATCCACACTAATGCGTTTTCCTTTGACGATCTCATATACGCCAACGATATCAGTAAAGCTCTTTACAAGCTCTTCACCTTAGGCGTAATGTGTTTTTTTCCCCGGACGACAAGATTCTTCGTATAACAGTTGCGCATGAATATTGATACAACTCAAACAAAGAATCTTATTTTCAAGTGAATGACATGTGGTTCGTAATTGAAAAACATTACGCCCAAGCTATGCTTCCCTAGAGTATCATTTCTTTGTTTAACGGTTGTACATGAAGAGACTCATGAATATAAATACAACTCAAACGAAGAATCTTATTCCTAAAAGAATGTCACGTGGACCGAAATGGAAAAACATTACACCCAAGCTTAAAGGGTCTATTAGTCCAAGGGATCTGCAGTCGCTAACGCATGACTTTGCAGGTTCTCAAGAGCACTAAAGACGAAGACTGGAAAATGCAAGATATAGTCTGGCAGCTGATCAACAGGAGACACAATGAGAAGACTATCGCATATGCAGAAAGTCATGATCAAGCTCTGGTAGGAGACAAAACTATCTCATTCTGGTTGATGGATAAAGAGATGTACACTCACATGTCAGTCACGTCTCCCTTGACACATATCATCGACAGGGGTATAGCTCTGCACAAAATGATAAGGTTCGTATTTGGAAGTACAGTTAAAAAAGAGAGATAGAAAAGAGAGAGAAAAAGAAAGAAAGGAAAGGACAAACAAACAAGCAAACAGAAAATAAAAGGAAGAAACAAACATAAAAAGAAACGAACAAACAAACAAATAAACGAATAAAAAAACAAGAACCCCAGAAAGAAACAAAGAAAGACACAAAGAAAGA